GATGTGTACACTGTTATTTCTGCCGCTCCTTCCCGTATTTTCCTTCTCATTTCTCTACTTTTTTTACACACCATCGCCGCCCGCTCTTTTCCGCGTTCCATCTTTTTTCCCCCGCGCTTCACCGCCTCTCCTCGTCGGGTGGACTTTACGGACACAAAACTCGCTCGGGTAAGCGTCACGTAAGCGAACCCAGTAATGAAAACGTCGCTGACGCGACGAGATTCCGGCGGCGGTCTACGCTGGTCGATGTATATTGTTATTACTCACGATATACCCACATGGAGCGAATCACCCGAGCAGGAAAGAACTGACTGCGATCTAGTAGCTTCCAAGAATCTCTCGCAAATGTGTTCCACGAGACATCGTCTCGATAGAAATAAAATATGACTCTATGAATTTCTTTAAAAATTTACACCAGTAATTTATTTATATATATAAATTATTGTTTTTGTATTTCAGTAAGGAAATTATTATAATTCAATATGACTTACTTTAATTATTGCACTATTTTTTAATGTTTAAAATTTTATCATTTAGTATTTAAGAATTTTACAAAAAATAGAAGGTAAAACAAATCGGTACCTGTTTTACCTTCCATTTTTCGTAAAATTCTTTTTTTTTGGTTCTGCGTGGAATGAAAAATCCTTTCAAATCGACCGTCCACCCTGTATTAGCATATGTACTTTAATTACAGAAAAGGATTTTTCATTCTACACAGTCAAAAAAAGTATAGTCTATTTAAAAAAAATCGGTAAAACAGACGACTCCAGGATCCCATTTTAATGGAAAGAACAATATGATTTTATCCGTTCTCTCGCAGCTCTCAATAATGATCGCGACTCTTCGATCCGCGTCGATGACCCCTTAATGGATCTCGCGCGATCAGCGCAGCGTGGTACCATCGTTAGCTCGATTAAGTAAGCATGCATTTACTTTTGGTGACAACACACTTTGCACACTCGATAAAGCATTCTTCGCAGACGCCAGTCGATTCGATGCGCGCCGTTATTACTCACATCGCCAATGGAGCGAGCAGCCCCCTTCACGAATGTCCGATCATGCTTTCTAGAAGTCGAGTGATATCCGATTCAATTACGTCGAAGTGACAAACCATCGTCCCGTCGTATCTGACTTTTTATTCCAACTAAAGTACTGCATGATATTTAATGAAACGTCGTTCTTATTAATGTATGAAGTATCGAAACATTATTCGAAACATTTATTTTAACATCATATCTAAATATAGAAATTTCGCTTCTGATCGAAAAATTCAAAAGCAAAATAAAAAATCTTTATTGCCCATTTGACACTTTAGCTATTATTATTTTTGAATATTGATCAACATTCTTTAGTAAACGTGTGAAACGCTTAGTTACAATAAATTAATGGGCTAAATAATAAATTACGATTTTCTACTATTCTCGTTACTTTAGAAACCCATACAAATGCTAAAACAAAAAATTCTGATATATTATTAAAAAGATAATAAAAAATTACACATCAAACCCCTCTCCTTTCTTTTATCTCTCTCTCTCTATTTCTCTCCGTGTCCGAATCGCGATGCATCTTTACCACGAATGATTTGTTTCGCCCCGAACGGTGGATAAAACGGCCTGTGACATCGCGCGCGGGGGGTCGCTCACCCCGTATAAATCGAGCAATCGAGCGCATCGAGCCTCGCAGCCCGAACTTCCGTTCGCTGATAACGAATATTACGAATGGCCGTGCGGTGTCTCGTTTTTGATCGTTCCTCTTTTTTGAAACGCCGCGCGCGCACGCCGATACGGTCACCTGCCGCTGATTTACATCGACACGGTGCGGGCGGACGCATCAATTTGCCGTGCCGATACTTCGTCTAATCGGACATCGGAGCGTTATCCGCGGCGGCGGTGTCGCGCGCGACGAGCGTGCACGTGTGTTGGCGTGTACGTATGTGCGCGCGAGAGGCGGCATCGATATATACGCATTATCCGAAGCGATTTCGCTCGCATACACTGTTTGACACGTGTGTCACTTGTTCACTCTAAATCGGCTGATTAAATTATGATCATAGTTCCCCTTTTCCCGCCACTGCCGCGACACGCTACAAAGATTAATCCGGAATCCGTTGGCACAGCGGAGGATGATACCTCGACAAATATGGCCACGTGATGAAAACAAATAGTTCTTTAATCGGCGCGGCGTCCAAACGAATCGACAAAGCGGACACCTCTTTTCCCGAGTACTTTATATTCGTGTGTCAAAGAAAATAATCTGAACAGCAAAACTTTCGCGATTGCGAAATAATTATTTGCGAGCTCGCGTGGAAAGTGAAGTTTTTTTTTCACTCATTGCATTAACCAGTTCTCTTTGTCGAAAAAACTCACGTGAAACATTGGGCGGATTCAATTGGAATCGGTATGGCCGATGTGTATGGGTTAAAACTTTATATCACCGGTCCGAATTTTTCCCATGCGAAAAAAATATTTTGCGGAAAAAGTCAGGCAATAAATCGCCGGGACGACCGAACACAGCCAGATATCCGGCTTGTTTAAAAAATTCAAGGAAGTATTTTAATTAAAAAGCTTTTGCGCATAGAAATATGATAGAAGTATGATATTTCCTATTGTTATGTATATATTACGAAATATATCACGGTGAATTATTCATTTTTGTTATTCCTTTATCAAAATATTCCGCAGTATTACACGATACAACAAATATCTAAATGTTACAATCACATATCACGCGACGCACGCAATTTTTGTACACCTCATACATATATATTTCACTGATCATTTCGAAAATAATGAAAATCTCAATTTAATTATCGCGATCAATCGAGAGTTCGATTATTCTTTTTTTTATGAGTCGCCCGGCAAAGTCGGCTGTTAAATTGCACGCGATCAGCGATGACACTGATAACTTTATCTCGGGGCAAGTCTGAAATTACACCGCGAAGGAAAATCCCGCGGCGCGCCGTACGCGGCGCATACAAATTTTGATAAAAACGAGGACTTATCGGGTTTTGCGGGAAGTAGTCGTGGAAATATGCGCAGCGGCTTAGTAGGACGAATAGGGGGATATCTAACAGCGGAAAACACGCACACACCTTCTCCCGTCGAAGGCCCCGGGGTTGGAGTGCGGTAAGCAGCTCATTAGAACCCTCCCCGCCGACCGGCCATTATTGCCTCGTTCCGTATTCCGTTACAAATTGCTTTATTAAATTAAAGTCCCACAACCCACACCGTACCGACGTCACGGCGACCCTGTGCGTCCGACCCTTCCTACCCCACCTACAGCCCCTCACGCTTCTCGCCCCCTACGTATATGCGCGCCCACATGCCACATCGGGGCCGTGCGCGGCCCCCTTGTCTCCGCAGAAGTCGTCCCCCACAGTTGTCCCTCTCGGTTATCCCTCGAAAATTTTCTCGATCTCCTCTTTTTCCCGATCTAATTAAGACGGCTCGACCGAGTGGCCGAGATTAAAAATAATCAGCCGGCGCGAATGGGATCAAGTAGTTTAGTTCCGCGGGAGACTTTAAACGAGGCAATGCCGCTGATGCGCTTGCAATAATTGCTTATCGATCGAAAGTTCGGAAACACGAAAAGATAACTTTCGACAATTTGAAGAAAAAGAATGCGCACTTTTTGAGCAAGTTATGAATACAAAAACGTAAAAAAAGTTATTAATTAAATTTATAAATACGGGAAGATTTATTTGCGTATTTAAAAAAATGAAAAGTATGGGAAATGGGAAAAATGCTTTTAATATTTACATCGCGCTTTGAATTTTAATTTATTTGTGTGCGCGTAAATATTTATAAAAATATAATTAATTTAATAAAATTATATTGGAGCAGAGTGTATTTAGAATATGAATACAAATTAAACTGTTTCAACGAAATTTGCAAAGTTTAATCTACGCCGGATGAAATGTGATTCGGAGAGCTGGAAGACATTTCGCAGAAAAATTAGTATTATAATCGCGAGTCCAGTGAAAGAGAGAAACACACTAAATGGTTGCGGCAATAATTACCAACGTTATAAGGGCCGTAATTAATTCCAGAAATGGCGAATTAATTTCGAACTGCGGTTAAAATGAAATACTTCTTACGGTTATAACACGGAAACTAATTATGCCCGAAGATATATCGCAGACATATTTTTCCTGAGTAAAACAAATAAGTGTGTATGTGGGGCAAGTGTATGCAATATCGTTGCACCTTGCCGATAAATTTCATTGCGTCATACATACGCACGACAGCGTGCTAGTAATATAACAAAAGCAAATTTATTAAGAAAGTACATTCGCACAATAATAGTATATGCACAATTGTGCGCTCATCCTTGCTTATCTTATATAATTCAGGACGTTGGTGTAGCGAAGTAAAATATGGCAATATTTCTCTATGACTTGTCACGACAGAAAGTCACAGATGGGATTTGCAATTTCCCCTTTTCATTCTGCCAGTCTGGAAAGAGATCATGGAAGGAGGGGGAGCCGATAGAATGCACATACGATGGCACGCACGATCGGGTGCACGCGGTTGCCGAAAATGCAATGGAAGCTTGCGAGCGGCTCGTCTCGTGGCTGCGATATCAAAATTCCACCGTGGTTTTTTAAACGATGCTTGAATTTTAACACGAGTCGCCTGTTCTCGTTTTAACAATCAATACCGGTCCATACTGTATCAAGAATTGGCGTTTACTATCAAACGGCGTAATATTTTATGCTTGAATAAAAAAAAGTCACACATGTTTATTTAAGGTGAATCGATAAAAAATAGCGATATTTCAAAGCTTCGAAGAAAAAGTAGAATTAGGTCATAATACTTTTTTTTTACAGACTTTCAGAGTAAACACTATAAATTGTAAACTTAATTCACCCCGCTAAATTAATGAACTCGGAAGGCTGAGTTGAACAAAACGGTGGCCATCAGCCAAGGCTAATTACTCTACTCGTAGCAAAGCGAAATGGATATTCAGAAACTATTCACCGGGTGACGCGAATGTTGCAGTGTCGCAACAGCTGGGCTGTCAGCAAGCGATGACGGGCGCGGGCGGCGGCGCCGGAGAACACGAGGGCGGCAAGAAGAAGCACACGAGGCCCACATTCAGCGGACAGCAGATCTTTGCCCTGGAGAAGACCTTCGAGCAGACCAAGTACCTAGCCGGCCCGGAGCGCGCCAAATTGGCGTATGCCCTCGGCATGTCGGAGTCCCAAGTCAAGGTAACGCATATCTCGCTGTATTAGCGCGCATTCAGCGGACTCGCTTGAAACAGTACTTGTAATTGCTCAATCTTGTTCGATCGTTGTTTAAAAAAATTCTTTGTTTCCTTGAAGAGAAAAAAGACGAAGCTTTAATTTTAGTCTTGGAAAATTGAATCATTTCTTTAAGTTGGAAGAAAGGTTTACTGCCACAGCAATACGACAACGCGAATAAACGCGTAAAGTTTTTATACACATGTTGCGAATATCTCAATTATCAAATACACGTCGCAAGTGTCCCGTCGAGAAAAAAAAAGGAGGCGAAGAGATATTCGTCTTCGCGTTCGCTGACATCGGAGAGATCGATCAGAGCAATCGTCTCGGCGCGGAAACGCAAATCCGCGCGGCGACGAATAATCCGCGGCCGAAAAATCTCCTCCGAAAAAAGGAAATCCCCCCGCGATCGCCCGTCGACGCTCAGCACGGGGGTTGCCCTCCGCAACGACGCCCCGCAAAAAGCGACTCGCTCGCGTGGAGGCGCGATTTTAAAAAGCGTCCTGCTCTCGTCGCTCGGCTTACTCCATCAACGCGCCCCGCCTGCGAGTGGAGAGGACAAACGGGAGCGGTAAAGGGGGGGGGGGGG